CAGAATTCTATGGAAATATAGCCACCTACATCCGAATTCTGACATGTAATTAGGGAGGAGACATTTTATCAGCTATATTGGAGGTTGGGAAACTACAGCCTGCTGCATGTTTTTGTAAATAAAGGTTTATTGGAGCACAGTCATGTCCTTTTGTTTACATCTTGTCTATGGCTGCTTTTGCACTACAAAAGGCACAGTTGAGTGGTTGGGACAGAACATACAGCCTGCAAAGCCTACAAGAGTTACTATCTGCCCTTTATAGAAAAAAAAATGTCAACACTTGAGCTAAATTATCTATATTTATGCTTTTCAAAGAGTTTAAGTGTCCATTTTAAAATCATCTTGCTTCATCCATTGTAAGAATATCATCTAGTTTTACAAATATTTCACATTCATGGAGAAATTACAGAATTTGGCATCTCTAAACTTTCCTTAACTTTGGAAAGTCTGTCCCTAGTACAATGCCATGAATTAGAATAAAACCCTGAATCCAAGCTCAAAGATACCTTGAAGGAAGTTCTTTCAATTAGTTAAAACTAAATTTAAACCTAGTATTGCCCCCTAATGGTCATCTCTTAGAAATGAACCCCCTTTGAAAACTAAATTTACAAATTCCTTTTTTTCCTACCAAAAGTTTCCAAAAATCCTTATCCCTATTCTGATCTCCAGCATGTATGGTAGGCTTTTCCTCAAAGAAAACCCACCTCCAAGAATATTCATTTAAGTAGATATACAGTATACATCTACTTCTATAACTAGTGAAAGATACTTTTTGAAATAACATCTTCCTTAGAAAGTCTCTCACTGCCCTCAATATTGAAAATCAAAAAGAGAGAAAAAGGGTGTCTACCCAAGTCTTGGTTGCATCTTAAGCAAAGGGAGACAGATACCTTGTCTTCCAGGTGTCACGGTGAAGATTCCAGAGCTGGTTCTTTATCCTAAAGGATGCTGTCTGTCACCACAGGTCACTCCTACTTTTCAGATATTCATCAATTACTTCATTCTTGAGGTGATTTATTGGAAAAATAAAGTCTTCAAAATAAAAAAATCAATGTTTTATCCCAAATCTACTCATATCAAAACATGAATTCACCATGGCTAAATTTTTATTACAAACTAGGACTGTCTCTTCCCAAAGAACTCACAGAAAGGTACATTAGGGTCACTCAGGATCTGGCACACAGACGGTACTGCGTAATTTTTAGAAGTCTGAATCTCTACGGGTGAAACACTCATCTCTTTTTCATCTTCTTTAAGCCTTAGTTTCATTATCTAAAAAATGGGGATAATATCATCTACTTTGTTGGGATGCTGGGAAGACCAGATGAGATAATACATGAAAAATACTTAGCATGATCTTTAGTACATAGAAGGTATCAACAAATGATAAATATTATCAATTAGCTCCTCAGTTTAAAAAAAAAAAAAGCCAGTTATTGAAGGAGGCATTATATCACACTCACGGGCATGAAAACTCTCCCGAGTCACTTTCCCCCATGTTTCCTTCTGAGATCATGCCACAAAAATTTTCAATGTGTTCTTCATTGGTATGACAGTGTCACAGTCGCTGGTATCTGTATTGGGAAATGGGACCTGCAGGACCTGCTAAGACAATGACGTTGACAGCAGTCTAGTGAGAAGAATGATGAACAATAAAGTATAACAAACGTCCTCTCTTCTAACTTCTGGGTATTTCCCAACAAACATGGTGGTGCCTACAGACCAAGAAAATGGAAGTTGGATGCAATGACTGGAAACAGACTGCATTGTTAGGTCTATTACACCCTCTAGTGGCCATAAGGAAGACTGTTTTTTTTTAAATCCTGGTTTGGTCGACAGTGCAAACTGGGTGATGTGTAGGACGTACATATTACTGTTGGTTAAAAAAATACTAATGACCAGCTTATCTTCATGTGTTTTATGCCTATGTCAAAAAGAACTAATGTTAAGAGAAGCCAATTGTCTTAGTCATCTAGTGCTGCTGTAACAGAAATACCACAAGCGGATGGCTTTAACAAAAGAGAAGTTTATTTTCTCACTGTAAAGGAGGCTATAAGTCCAAACTCAGGGCATCAGCCCCAGAGGAAAGCTTTCTCTCTCTGTCGGCCTTCTTCTCATCAGTGTTTCCCCGGACTAGGGGCTTCTCCGTGCAGGAACCCCAGGTCCGAAGGACACACTCTGGTCCTGGCTCTGCTTTCTTGGGTGGTATGAGGTCCCAGTCTCTCTGCTTGCTTCTCCCTTTTATATCTCAAGAGATTGCCTCAGGATACAATCCAATCTTGTAGACTGAGTTCTGCCTCACTAACACAACTGCTGCCCATCCTCCCTCATTAACATCATAGAGGCAGGATTTACAACATATAAGAAAATCACATAATACCAGGAATCATGGCCCAGACAAACCGACACACACATTTTTTTGGGGACATAATTCAATCCATGACATTCCACCCTTTGGCCCCCCAAAAATCACATCCTTACAACATGGAAAACATATCCACCCCATCATAACATAGCAAAAGTCTTAACTCCAAGTCCAAAATCCAAACATTCTTCTTCATCTGTGAAATCTAGAATACAAGTTATCTGCTTCCAAAGGTACAATGGCAGAACAGGCACCAGCTAGACATTTCATTACAAATGGGAGAAACTGGAGGCAAAGAAGGGATAACAGGCACCAAGCAAGTCAGCAGAACACATTACATTAGGCCTTAAGGCTTTGAAAATAATCTTCCATCCTCTGAGACAATTTACACAATGGCCCTGCCCTCCAGACTCTAGGTATTGGCCACACTCTCCAGATTCTGAGTGGAAGCCCCTTGGCCCTGGGCTTCAGCTCCGCCTTCCAGGTCCACTGGGACAACAACTCTGCTCCTTTGGCTTTAAGCACACCATTTTCCTAGTCCATCTGAGTGGCGACTCCACCCTTAGAAACACCAGAGGCCATGGCTCCACTCTTAGAAATCCCTGAGGTCATGACCATACCTTTTGAGACTGAGGTAGCTCAGCTTCTTGTGTCCCTTGTCTCTTCAGCTTCTGTTTCCTGTGGCCTCTTGGCCCTTGGGCCTCATGCCCGCATCTGTCCTGCTGGGGCAAGTGTTCCAAAGCTCAGTAGCTCCACCAGTAAGTACCCAGAGGCACCCCACTCCACCAGAAAGCCTCGTGCATACACGCACTCAGCTCTCGCTCCGTGGGTCGACAAGCCTAGCTCCACTGATAAGTACCTGGAGGCACCCTACTCTGCCAGGAAGCCTCCTGCGCACAGGCACTCAGCTCTCTCGCTCTGCGGGTCGGCTCCAGTGCCGTCTCGCACTGGTCTCCTGGGTTCTGCTGCTGTTGGTTCTCTGCCACTGCCGCTCCTCTGCTGTTGCTGGTTCTCTGCTGCTGCTGCTGATCCTTTGCTGCTGCCACTGCTTCCACATTTTAGGTATCTGTTAGAGCAGCACCCCACTCTCTCGGTACCAAATTCTGTCTTGGTCATCTAGTACTATTCTAATAGAAATACCACAAGTGGATGGCTTTAACAAAGAGAAGTTTATTTCCTCACAGTAAAGGAGGCTAAAAGTCCAAATTCAGGGCATCAGCTCCAGAGGAAAGCTTTCTTTTCTGTTGGCCTTCTTCTTATCAGTGTTCCCCCGGACTAGGAGCTTCTCTGCGCAGGGACCCCAGGTCCGAAGGACGCGCTCTGCTCCTGGCACTGCTTTCTTGGTGGTACGAGGTCCCCCTGTCTCTCTGTTCACTTCTTTTATATCTCAAGAGATTGCCTCAGGATACAATCCAATCTTGTAGACTGAGTCCTGCCTCACTAACACAGCTGCTGCCCATCCTCCCTCATTAACATCATAGAGGCAGGATTTATAACATATAGGAAAATCACACAATACCAGGAATCATGGGCCAGCCAAACTGACACACACATTTTTTGGGGGACATAACTCAATCCATAACACCAATGTTTTCACAATTTTGCCCATTCAGACTTTATTTCCTGCTGAACGAAAATACTGATCAATAGAGGAAAAGGCACAGGCTTTTTTTCCATGCTATACTGACTCTCAAGTGAGAGATGACGATAATCGTCTTTGTTGCTTTATAGAAGGAAATTTTTGAAATGAGCATCTTACTTAAAACAGCACTTTGCACCACAGGGCTATTTACAAGCCGAAGTAACAATTAAATACACCCAAGACTATGAATCTATTCTTCTCTGCCCAAACCCTTCATTTTTATAATAGGTAATTATAGTAAAAATTTTGATTAACCAGAGCACTCAATTAACATGATTTCCCTTCTTGTACTCTATTTTTAGGACAAAGTGGGAAAAAAAATCACAAGAAAATTTTATTCATGTGAGGGATTTAGTTTGAAAATCTTCTAGGAAGGCTATGCTATATTAAGTAGAAAAAACCCAGAATAGAAATTACATCCATATCATGATTACTACTATATAGAAAATTCATATAATTGGACAAGAGCTGGAAGGGAATATGAAGCTTAAAAAAAAAGTTAATGCAGTGGGATTGTGAACTATCCCTTATTCCTTCCGTTATCTTCTTTTTTGTTATATTGTTATTTGCAGAATAAACAAATAAAAACTCAAGTGGGGGTGATGCATAAAGTTAGCACATATTCTACAACATCTTCTATTCTTCCACGTTGATAAATCTGAACACTAAAATTCGAACAGTAAAACTGAGACAGAATCAGAATCCCAAGTCCTCGAAAGACCTTTAGAGCTCAGAGATACCGTTAAGGTCATCATCACCTATCAGGACAAAAAAATAGGTCACTTGGGAAATATTTTTTCTAATATGAGCTGAAGCAAGAAAATATTTATATATTTAATTTTCAACTAATTTGAAAATAAATTTATCAGGACATCCCTTATTCAGAAGCACCCATTTTACTTACTCAAGGTTTCACTGATGGATAAAACTCAACAGACCAGAGTAATCAGGCTAAGGAACCACCCCTGAATTGAAAGCTCCACATCAAATCCATCTATTTAAAATACTGTTTATTTGTGATTTAACATTAATTAGCATTACATCTAAGAGCATTATCAGATAACATTTATACATTTTTCCACAGGACACAGAGGCTCATTGGCTCATTCCTTATGCCAAAGCAAGTAAATAGAGGCATTAGCAAAAGGTGCAAATAGTTCACTGTTGCATTTAAAAAATATTTATGCACATTGCATTCATTTAGATATATATATTTTTAAAAAGTTACGCAAAAGCATAGTTCACAGGTTACTGTTTCTACATACGTTGTAATACAACATAAATGATGTAGAACATAAAAAAATACAGAGTTAAGCAACTGAAAGTTTCTTCTAAGAGATTAAAACACTGATTCCAGTAGTTAGTGAGATCTAGAATGACATTTCCAGGCTCCATTTCCACTTGGCGTTATACTCACACAGCCCCAGAACACACTTTTTTTTTTTTTTTGCATGCCAACTCACCTTCTTGAAACATTTTGAATTATTTTTACCCACTGGCCATTTTGGATCACTGAATTTACTTGGGAAAATGGGGGGAGACTATATTAAGCCTAGGTTAAATCTGTATTTACATTAGAAAAAGTTAACTGAAAAGATAAAAAGATTTGTAAAAATCAAAGTGGTAGTTTTCTCACTGGTGGGATTACACCCACTGATTTCTTCTAGTGCTGCCCTCTAAAGATACACAAGTTAGAAGGATGTGACCCTTTTAAAACTCAAATATCAACCAAGAATAACATTGATTTTGGCAAAGAAGTGGAATTTTAGAAATGTACATGTTTCCAATAAATCACACTTGAAATCCTATAGTGAATATGAGTCATTATCAAACTAGAACCCTTCTTTTCATGCCCCATCTTCTGTTCCCTTAAAATTCTCACTTTCCCTCTCATTTTTTCCCTTTCATTTGGTTACCTAATGAGATTTTCTCCATTCATTAGCAATACTAAGAGAAAAATACATTATAAGATTCAAATATGAACCCAGTTATACTTTTATATGCTCTAATCCCCTTTTGATAACAATTCCCTGGATTCTTAAATTATATTTAAGTATACTCAGTGCCTCAAATATGCTCTACTATTTAATGATTGGCTAATATGCTTATGACACTTTTATACTGAGTGGTATACAAACATCTCAACATACAAAAATTGGTTTTGCCAGAGTTAAACTAAATAACTCACGTTATATGTAAAAAATCCCCTTTGTTGAAAAATAAGGGGCTTTCTAAACTAATAAAAAAGGAAGTTTTCAAAAATTATAGTTTACTAAAATGACTTTTTTGGTAAAGTTACTTTAGGTGAGAAATTTTATACAATGAGTAAAATTCCAAATGAATCTTTTAATTTTTAAAAAAATATTATGTGCCAGTGTATAATAATGCTATAGATTCTTGTCTTAGAAGCTCTTAAAGCATTTTGTTAATTCCCATTGAAACAATGGGGACCCACAAGGTACAGTCAATACTCATGATAAAAAGGTTATAATCTGGTTACCAAGTGAAGCAGTTGCTAAGACATAAAAATTCTCCTGCTTGCTCACTGGTAATTTGTTTCCAACAGATATTATGGAGAAGGCCAAAAGTAATTCAGACAGATATCTGTTTGTGGTAAACTATAATAATACCTCATGAGGGCAAAACTAATTAAAATAGCAATTCTTTAAAAATTCAAAGCCATTTTTGGATATATAAAATGAGAGATGATTTTGAAAGCTTTTTCATAATGTTTTTCTTTTAGTAAAACCTCTTTCCAGTTCTTAAAGTCCAGTTTGCTATATACCCCCTAATCTGATCTACCACTGCATTTTAATGATCAACTTAAATGTGGTATTTAAATGTGCAATGTCACATTGTAATAATAACAATTAGAAAGAAGACTTTACTTAGGCTTCAACTTTCTCCTTTTTTTTGTTCTTCTTCAGAAAAGAGGGAGTGCGGAATTTCTTCTTTTTCTTAGACGGTGACTTTGAAGGTGAGCCTTCAGGTGACAGGCCTTCTTCAATTTTTTCCGGAGATTTAATGGTAATCTCGATGTTCTCTATGGTCGTGCTTGTAGTTAACCTACTCACTCGCTTAGCAAGCTCATCTTCAACATCATGCATATCATCCTTGCCATTCACTACCATGACAGGCACTTCCATGGAGATGAAGCTCTTGGAAAACAGCTCATGGTTTTCTACAAAACGGGATTTTTTTCTTGTTATTTTATACAGTTAACATCTCTGCTTAATTTTACAAAACTGAAATGTTTAGCAATGTACTAAGGCATTACTCTCATTCCAGTGAAGATACACATTATTTTAATAGACCATGGATTTATTAGCATGAAGCTAATTTTCATAGATAAGTGGAGGGAAAACAAAGTTGTCAGATCAAAGAGTGCAAGCTAGATAACTTCAGTTTGCTTACAAGACTGTTTCACTGGAAATCAAGTCAATATATATGAGGAAGACAACTTACATTTTTCTTTCGTTTTGGGGTTATTTGGCAACCAAAATTGTAAAAGATTTCATGCTTTTGATTGGAAGCCTAATGACAAATCAATTTTAATTCCACAAATTCTTCAGAACTATGGGTTGGCCAAAGTCCAGATTAAGGTAAGTCTATATAAATGTTGAACAAAAGTAGCATGCTATTCAATGAAAATAAATACATAAAATTATTGGGAGGTTTAAATAAAATCCATGGCAAACTTGCTTAATCAGGTTTCAGTTTCTTTACATGAAAACAAATGACAAAGGAGCAGACTCATAAGACTAACTCGGTGAATGCTATGGGAAATTACATTGAATACCTTCTAATTTTTCAGGGACATTTTGCGGTGACTGAGTTTGAGAGTGAATTTGTGAAACAGATGAAGCGTCATCTGACAGTAATTCCTCCTCAGTATCTGTTGGATAAGAGTTTAGTTAAAAGCCATGCAAAACAAAACATATAAAGAAGCGTAAGAGGTCACGGAGGTTAGTGCATACATCAAATACCTGCATACACAGATGATGAACTCTTCAGCAATTAGCTGAGCATGCTAACAACAGGTATCTCAAACACCAATAATTATTCATTATGAGGATGTTAATGAGTTAAAAATTCTGGCTGCTAGTAGTAATTTTACATACATGGTTAACAAAGGAAGCAGGGCTACTGGCAGCCCAGGCAAATAATATGTATGCATTTAGCTTTTGCTGGTATGTTAGAAAACCAAAATATATTAAGCACTGAGATAAAAAGATTTATAAGCCTCTCCAATGTTGCTACATTAATGAGGCAGGATGCTTCACAGAATTTTTGAACAATATCCAATTAGTGACTTCTGTCAGAGCAATATTAGTGGGCTGTTTCATAAAGTCATAATGAGTGTGGGAGAAACCATAAAGTTGTACATAAAAGATAATAGTTCTAGGGTGCAATGTTTGTTACCTGGCATCTTTAGCCTTTCAAAAAATAAGAGATTAAAGAGGAACATTTTACAAAAGATAAAAAACAGAGAAACTGCCAACCTTGTGTTATAATAAATAAACTCAGTAATACCACTTACAGCATTTAGTGTAATTATATTATTGAGTCAAGATAACTCCCTCTTGTGACAATGGCACTAATGCACTGATACAAACTGTTCCCTGGATGACCCTGCATATTATAACATGGATAAAAATTCTTTATTGGCTTCTCTTGTCTTGGGTAAAAATTTAAAAAGAAGCTTTTCAATTGTATGTCGTGGATAATGTAAAGCAGGGGCTCTAACTCTCTTTTGGGACCACAGACATCTTACCCTCCACCCTGAGCTCCCCTTCCCCAGTGTGTACATCACATACAATTAAGCATGTATTTTCCAGGTGGTTCATGAAATGTCTGAGGTTTAGCCAAAGATCCAAGATTGAGAACCCCTGCTATAAAGAATTTACTCTAGAGAAAAAGAAAGCTAGTAATCAATCAGCTGGGATTCTTAAACAAAATCCTAACAAACTACTCATTAAAGGTTCTGAACTCAGAAAAACTCAACCTCACTAGAATGCCAAGTGCTTAAGGAAGGTCACATCAAAAGTGTAGCAGTTTGTTTTACATTCTGATTTTGAAATTACAATACTGACACCTCAAGGACACCCAGAAATGAGAGATTTTACTAAGCATTAAAGTCACATACTTGTAAATCTACAGTTATTCCAAACCAAAAGTTAAAAAAATGCCATCTACTATGAAATGTTTAAATCTATGACTGTATCTCCATCTATTTTGGCTAATATAGAAGACTTTGTTATAAAATAACTAGCATTCAAACTGCTTTCAGAGGGAAAAAAAAAAGTGTTCAGTCTCAACACCTCAGTAAAGGACTGGGAGAGAAGAAACAGAACAATCAATTATAAAAGGAAAAAAAAAATTGGCTGCCTTCTTCAATCATCCAAATCAAGGTGCTCCCCTTGTTAGCAGGTGTGGTCATCCTAGGCTTAAACTAAAAATTAACTAACCTTCCAGGCCTTGTTGTTTACGTTCGATTGTCTTCTTATACTCTTCCAGTTCTCCTTCTGTGAGATGACTGAAGGGGTTGGGAGGAGCTGGTGGGGCATGGTCGTCTTCTTCAAACTGCATGGTCTTGCAAAGAAGAACACTTGTCTCTTACCAAGAGTTTGGTAACAACGAATATCTATCTGTCTGTCTGTCTATCCTTACCTATATATCTAAGCTTTTGGTGTGTGTGTGTGTATAAAATATTTTATGTACTACACAAATATATATATACACATGCACACATATAAATATACATGTTTGTGACACCTCACATCACAACAGTCATAAGAAATGACAGACACAGCAATGTGCTTTTTAAAAATAGTTATCAAATTAATGCTCTTAGACTTTTGATCCAAAGGAATATAATTACTAGTGATGTTTCCCTAATAAGTCTGTATAGGTCAATTTTAATAACCTTTTAAAAAAGAAATAAACCTAAGCCAAGTTCTAGTAAGCTTTACATAATTAAGAAATATCTTTGAAAAATCAAGAATTGCTCTATTTCAAAAAGCCTTTGTACAAAAAGCTTAGAAAAAGGAAACTGTATCAGGGTAACTTTTCAGAATTTGCTATGAAAATAAACTTGTTGCTATTTTCTCCAGGAAAGGAATTACTGGGACTTTCAGTTAAACCTGGCAGATTAATCCCTTCCCAAACTCCACTAAAATAATAGTAACAGCACAGCGAGAAAGATGGTATAAACATTTAAGGACAAAATTCAGTAATGCAAGAGGAGACAAGATGAAAAATGTTAATGCATTTTTGGAAGATGGAAAGCAGGTGAAAGAGTGGGTAGTAGCGCTGAGAGAGCTGAAGCTTCAGTCCTGCATAAAACCAAATCCACTGCCATAGTGTCAATTCTGACTCACAGCAACCCTGCAGGACAGAGTAGAACTCCATAGGGTTTCCAAGGCTAAAATCTTTACGGAAGCAGACTGCCATGTCTTTCTCCTGTGAAGCAGCTGGTGGGTTCAAACCATGGAGCTTTTGGTTAACAGCCAAATGCTTTAATCACTGCGCCACCAGGGTTCCTCAAGTCCTGCACAGAAGGATGCAAATAAGGAGGATGCTTGTTTGCCTTATACGGGTCCTGGTAAGTCTCAGAAACTGGAGACATCAAGTACCACTGAGGGTGGCGGTGAGGGAAAAAGTTGAAAACGGGGGCAAGTTGAAAGTCAGAATAAGGAACAGATTTCCAAGTCCCCTTCCCTATTCCACACTGCCAAGCATTTACCTATTTCCCACCCTTGCAGAAGACTAAAGGTTTATTTTTCAGAAAAACTGATTAGCAGACACAAAACACAGCTGAGGGCTCCTAGAACAATGGTGGGAGACCAGAGAATTCTTTTCTGGATAACTTAAATGGCCCCAGATTTAAAAAAAAAAAAAAAAAAAAAAAAAAAACTACAGATATTAACATCTGGGGATCCCTCAGAGAAACAACCTAGTCCACATCCAGTCACTATATAGGGAAGCTCACCAATCCTCAAGCTCTGTACACACCCAGAGCTTCTGACCAGCTTTCAGTGGTTCATTCTTAAATATAAACAGACTGCCACAGATTACCAGACATTTGAGGAAAGCTCCAACATGGAAGACAGAGACCAAAGCAAACAAGGAAAAGGAAACTTGGAGATAAAGAAGGCTGCTGAAGAAAATTGAAAACTGATTCCCTTAGAAAGAGCAGAGAAAATATCGTATCCATGCAACAAAGACCAAGATGTTATAAAAAAGGAACACTGAGAGAACAAGAACTTTTAAGAATCAAAAAAATTAATATCAAAATCAAAACTCCCTCTCTGTTAGCCCAAAAGTAAAACCATTCTCGAAGCCAACTCTTCAGACAAAGATTAGACTGGACTATAAGACATAAAATGATACTCATGAAGAATGTGCTTTTTATTCTTAGCTCAAGTAGATACGTGAGTCTAAATGGGCAGTTCCTGTCCGGAGGCGAGATGAGAAGGCAGAAAGGGACAGGAGCTGGTTGAAAGGACATGGGAAATCCAGGGTAGAAAGGAGGAATGTGCTGTCACGGTATGGGGAGAGCAACTAGGGTCACATAGCAGTGTGCGTTATAAAGTTTTGTACGAGAAATTAACTTAAACTGTAAGTTTTCATTTAAAGCACAATAAAAAAATAAATAAAAACTCCAATGAAGGGTTAGAAAATATAGTCAAGAAAATCTCTTAGAAAGTAGGGTGAAAAGACAAAGAGGTAAAAACAGGGGGAAAATAAAAAAAAAAAAAAAAACAGAGGCTCAGTCAAAGAGGTCTGACATCCAAACTGACAGGATATCCTAAAACAAACAAGAAAGAAATTAGAGGGGGAAAAACTACTGAAAGAACACTGAAAAAAAATCCCAGATCTGAAGGATATGACTTAGCAGATTAAAAGAGGTTACTTAATGCTAAGAACAAGGAATAAAAAGAGATCTCCAAAGCACACCATCATAAAATTTCAGGACAAAAGGGATGAAGAAAAGACCCAAAAGAAAACAAAAAGAAAACTTATTCACACACAAAAGTACAACAATCACGATGACCTCCTCCTTCTCAACAACAGCATGGAGTTAATGGAAAATAAAGCAATGCTTTTCATATTCTGGGGAAAAATTATTTCCAAATTAGAATTCTATACCACCTATGCACATCTAGAGAAGGACAACATGCTTGGTAAAGCAGAGGGTCCGCGAAAAAGAGGAAGACCCTCAACGAGATGGACCGACACAGTGGCTGCAACAATGGGCTCAAGATACCAATGATTACGAGGATGGCACAGGATGGGACAATGTTTTGTTCTGTTGTACACAGGGTGGCTATGAGTCAGAACCAACTCGACAGTACCCAACAACAACAACAACAATGCACATCTGAAGGCAGGATAAAGACATTTTCAGACTGCTACCTCCTATCTGTCCTTCTCAGAGAGTTATTAGAGGATGTGTTCCATGATAAAGGAGTAAGTCAAGAAAGCAAAGACATGCAATGCAAGAAACAGGATGTAGCACAGGCATGCTTAGGATGAGCCTGTGCAGCTGGTCTGGAGAGCAACCAGTCCAGATTTGAACCAGAATGAGAAGGGCTAGAACTGAGAGATTACCTGTTACCAGTGACCCTATGGAAAATAGTAGTAAGATGGACTTTATATTTCTATTGAAAAGTTTGGGAAAAACTAGTAGTTGTTGTTGTTGGGTACCCTCAAATAGATTTTGACTCATAGCAACCCCATGTGACAGAGTAGAACTGCCCCAAGTATTTCCTAGGCTGTCATCTGTATGGGAGCAGATCGCCAGGTCTTCTCCCAAGGACCTGCTGGGTGGGTTTGAACCACCAATCTTTCCTTCGATTAGCAGATGAGCGGGTAACTGTTGTGCCACCAGGGCAGGGACCCAAAATACTAAGACGATGTATTAACTCCCAAGTTGTAAAAGAAAGAATTGTAATAACGTGATACTATCTGGCCCAGCAGTAAATGTTTAATAACACAAGCACCAAAAGCTGATTTGACAAAAAAAAAGCTGTGCTATAACTTTCCTGGGAGAATGGGGAGAGGGAAAAAGAGAAGCAGTGTAAACAGGCTAAATCTTCATCTCCCATAACAGGAAGTCACTACTGTCTTTCATTAATATTAAGATGCACTTTCCTCCTCCCACTTTCACATCTCTGAAATTGAGATTCATCTTATAAGGAATGGCTTCCTACAATTATAATTGGAAGCGCTTTTTCTCTCTTAGTGATACATAAAATAGTGGCACTTCTTATAACTGATGACATAGATTTGATGAAATACAGCAGAGGTCTAAAACTGATAAACCAAGAAAAATCAGAATAAAGGTGCTCTTTAGAAACACAAAGGTAAATGCTACAAGCAATTAAAAGAATAGAAGGCCCTTATTGGATACAGGGAAGCCCCTGGGAATTGGGGAATTCGCATTTTAAAGTCTTGTGGACTATGTGCCCTTTTAACTTGTGCTTGTATTACTTTAGTAAAAATAAATATTTATATTAAAAAGTAAAGATATTAATGTGGCAGACTAAAAACAAAAATCATACTGCTTCACAGACTTACAGAAGGAGGCTTATCCACAACAATGCCAGCAAGCAACTGAGATTGTGGTCCTGCTGTTTTCAAGTCATATCGGTTTTGCTCCCGAATCTGAATTAAAAAAAATAACAATAAAGGGCAACTAGGCAGATGACCTTTATTTTCTCTTTTCCTAAAGGCTTACTATGTGATCATCTCATAGTAAGTCAAGAGTCTCTCCAATTCTCACCTCCACAAAGCCCTCTCTTACTGTCCTAACAACTCATATTAATCTCCTCCACTCTTATAGGCATGTGATTTCCTATTATATCGTTAGAGAGCTACAATTTTCACTAAATACCAGGGTGTTAAAGGCAGAAATATGTTTAATACTTCTTCCCCTCCTAGCCTAACTCTGACTAGCACAGAGTTAGAGGTATTTAATACAAGCTACAATGACACTGAATTTCAAACTCTTCTGTATTCATAATCCTAAATTTTAAATTCAATTGCAGTAATTTAAACATAAAACAGCATTAAAATGTGTTCCCTGGCCACACAAGACCACGTCTTACCTTATTTCTCTTTTCTAGCACCTCATTCGGGTTTGTGTTTAAAGGAACGAACTGGTTTGGATCTTCAATTTTGATAGGTGTCCCGCCACTCACTTTACAGGAGTCCTCTGCTTTCATCCACTAAAGAATCAAAAAATATTCTAGAATGAAGCTTTGTGTTAAGAAAACATAGTAAGTGCTCCACAGCTGTCTATTGACTCATGGGGGGTGGGCATATATTGCCAATCTTTAAGGAATTTCACTAAGCAGTATCCTAGTAGTCAATTAGTCTATATGTCATACTAGTTTAGAAAAAGAGTCACAATTAGCATTCACTTTAAAAAATGCCATAACTATTCACATGAATACTCAATTACGCTGCTAATTAAACTTTATCCTCTTGGCATTTTTTAATATGATGCTGAAAATATTTCAAACACAGACACAGAGCATGATCTCCCATTAACTTGCATTCAGAGTTCTGTCTCCTGCACTGAAGTTTCATCAACTGATGACACCCAAGAAGCCAGAGAAAAAGACTTAAGAAATCTAAGACTTGGTTTTCCACACTTCACTTTTACATTTTACAAAAAGGATAATCTGGTAGTATATAGTATCATAGAGCCACAAGGTTGGAATGACCTTATATAATTCATGTCATTTGCTCCACATCATAACCCTTAAAAAAGGCTAGTATTCATCAAGATTAATGATGGAGTCCCATTAATCTCTGTCAATAAAATTAATTCAGGGAAACTTATGAGTTTAAGTAAGGATGTTCTTTCACTGGGAGACAAGAACTCTTAAAGACTCGGAAAGAAACACTTTGAGGCCCAGGCATTTATATCCATATTGAATGTTACTGATTTATACGACAGTATAAATTAATCTTGAGTATCTGAAAGATAGTTGGTGATAAGCACTCCAAACCCAAATCAAACCAAACCTAAAGCAAAATGCTGAAAAAGATGAGATAATCCATTTCTCCACCTACAAGATCTTGCCATGGGCAGTAATTCATATAACTTTGGCACTATTAGGTGTTGATAACTTTATAGTTCTAATTAAGTAGCACAATATAAACTACAAAGCCGTATCACCAAAAAAAAAAAAAAAAAAAAAAAACTCCATCGCAGTCGAGTTGATTTCTATTCACAGCAATGCTACAGGACAGAGTACAGCTGCCCCCAAAGAGTTTCCAAGGAGCAGCTGGTGGATTCAAACTGCTGACCTTTTGGTTAGGAGCCAATCTCTCTACCACTGTGCCACCAGGGTCCCTCTAATTAAGTGGCACAATATAAACCATAAAGCAGTATCATATAGTGAGTAACAACTGGGCTCCATCCAGAGTCAGACTGCCTGCATTCAAATCCTGACTTTACCATTGAAAAATGATTAGTTAAGCCCCTGTGCCTCAGTTTTCTCACATATAAAATGAGGGAAAAAAACAACATCCACTTTATAGAGTAATTAGGAGAATTACATGAGATAATTTATGTATAGCACTTAGAACAGTAACCTGCACAAATTTAATACCTAATAATTGATAGCGATATTATCATAATATTGCTTTTCCAATATTTTTGACATCGAACATTCAATTCATGAGTAACTAGACAGAATATCTAGCAAAATATCTAGTAAAGGCAAACTACATAAAATAGTGGCCTACTGTGATTTTGGTCCTGGGACTGGTTTCCCCATTCCGAGACTCCTCAGGCACATTCACTCTCATGTAAGTATTTGGTGAGTTCAGCCATCTTGTCTTTTCACGTTGCTGTCTCTGTGCCATATATTTGAGAGGAGAGAGTGGCACTGTATCGTCTTCAAAGGAAAAGGCAGTCACAGTTGCTGGGATTTCCACATCACTCTTGTGCCTAGGCTTCTCTCGAATGAGAGGATACCTGTAGGCGTAGCCTGTTCTATATCCCTAAGAGAGGGAAAAACCACATTTGAAGCCATCAAACCTGTCCCAAGACAGCATTTGGATTCTAATTCTTTAAACAAATGATTCAAAGACTCCTTTGTTAAAAAACAAATAAGGAGAAAAAAAACCTTCCAAGCCCCTTATAACCTCCATGTAATACCAGGGTTGAAATGAAGTGAAATTCAATTTCTGGTTAAAATGGATTCCAGCTGACACAGCTATTTCCACTCCTACAACTGTTCCTGACAAAGGTAATTACAAAACTGCTGACCAGAAACACTTTTCTACCTATAAAATGGCTTTCTGGGAACCAAATCTCAGGGCTCATTCAAGTCTTTGTTCCTGACTCTTCGTGGAAGAGGGTAAAGTCTAAGATAAGACGACATTTGACTGTTCTACTTTGTGATTCTCAAAAACTTGGTTAAATAACACTGGAACACCTTCCGAGGGTCAAACTCTGCTCTTGGAGTAATAAGGAGCATATTCCAAAATTAAACAAAGATGAGAGCATCCCTAAAATTTGAAGACATGAAATCCAGGTTTATGTTCAACTTTTCACTTACCAAATTGTCCAAAGTCCTCATCAGCCCTTCAAACTCAACCTCGCCAACCTTCCACTTTTGATGAGAACTCATATTCACACCTCCTCCTCCAGATGCTGCTACAGTGTGAGTGAACACTTTATACTTCTGAAGATCCAGCACAAGTAGATTGTCTACTCCCCCTGCCCCTGCTAATGCATGCACCTGTAAATGAATGATAAAATATACAGAGGCAACTGTAAGACCATAATGAATATTTTACTTTCAAAAAGGCACAATTTCAATTCAGCAAAAATCCTTAATGCTTGTTCAGGCTGCTAACAACAAAGAGAAGGCCACACTTTTGTGAAAGAAGTATCTTATCTATCTGAAAAAGATGCCTTTCAGGTCTCTGATCCTCCTCAATGGAAAACAGATTTCAGTTATACTGTTTAAAATATTTCAGTAAACTGAACTCTCTTGCCTATTATAATAATAAGACTGTAGAATCATTGGAAATTGCATAACGTCATAAAATTTCTGACACTGCTCTTAATGCTTTTTACAAAAGTGGCTACATCTGCTCCTTGATGGTTGGGGGCTGCCTTTGTTTCTCCTCTTTTTGCAGCTTATTAGCACCACCACTAGAGGTCGAAAACAGAGAGATGTGCAATTGTACTATTTTAACCCTTTCATGCCAGGCGGTACATACAGTGACTATGAATTTTTCAGCCTCTGGGGTACCATTCATAGTGTGTGCTGTGACAATGTAGAGGCCTTTATAACTGTTTGAAGCTGAAGACACAGGTGTGCACCACAAATTACTGTTTTTACAGGGTACTGTATGAATTGTCTGAAGTTCTGGTAGAAAAAAATTGAAATTTTGAAAAGTTTTATCTGTTATACATATATACCAATAGACCCAGGTGGGGACTCTGGGGTATAATTAGTGGTACTTCATATGTACCACTAAACACTTAAGGTTGGCTTGTGGGAGGGGGCAAGAAAAAAAAAAAATCTATACTACCTACCAAAAGTTCCGATACACTCGATGATTCAGAATGCTTACATTAATGAAAACACACGGTATCAACAAAAGATTCAAAGCAGAAAATAATTGGGTGATCAAAGAGTTCAAAATTAGGATTGTGGGGAAAATTATGTTTATGAGGCACTTAGGTACGTGCAACTGTGAATTTCATTTCTCCTTCCTCTTATTATCAAGAGATAATCATGTTGACCCTTTTAACTTAAGTAGAGAACTTCTCTTAAGAAACAAAACAAAAACTAATAGGGCTTTAGAAATACATAAAAACAAAACCCAATTAAACAAGCAAATAACAAAGCAATTTAAAAAAATTTTTTTCCCTACCTGAATCTCACAGGCTATTTGCACATTAAAAATATAATGAAAAGCCTCCTCAACTGTTTCTCCAAGTGCTACCACACCATGATTCCTGAGTACCAGCACCTAAAACAGAATCCCAAAGCAATCACTTTAAATAACGGTCATAGCCCACACTGTTTTCGTCAACAGCAGCATCAACAAAAATAGCTCCTTAGATAGAAACTCTACTACATACCTTACAACTTGGCCCCAGAACTTTCTGCAGTTGAATTCTTTCCTCCTGTTCATCAAGTGACCCTTGGTAGTCACAATAAGCGACATCTCCCAGGATTAGGGACTCTTGAGAAATAGGAAGGATTCCGCACTTCATGGAGGATACCTATTTGAACAGGTTCATGTCAACATAACACATTTAGTTACTAAATACACTTTCATAGGGATCTGATTTTTCAGTTCACCCAGGAGGCACTGGCCTATTCATTGTGTTCATCTCTCCAGCCCATCCTCCTACTTTGGTTCCAGGGGGAAACAAAAAGAAAAAAAAAAAAAAAAGGACTTAGGAGATACAATCCAATTTAAACGCTGTGTCAAATATTACGAAAAAAGCTTTGCTCCAGAGGACTCAGTGATCCAACTATTAAACTGATTAGTTTAAAAATCTAAGTACCATCTCTCTAGTTGTTTCCTAGAATGGCAGCATTTGGTTCAAAGGAACTTTTGCTTTCTGAGTACGCAGAGGATTAGTATTTCAAATACGATTTTGAACGGCAGGGTCTGATGGAATGCAGACATGAAAAGCATCATGTCAGGAAAGCTATGAAAATAATGCATTTCCCAGAGACATTGTTGGTTTTGGCCCCTCATTGACTTACAGCTGCTGTTGCAAGGGTATGGATGTGTATCACACACTTAACATCAGGACGCGTGGAATAGATTGCAGCATGGGGACTGAATCCTGTATGGTCAATCTTCAGATTAGTACTTCCCTGGTCAACCACTTCTCCTATTATATTGACTTTAACCTGGAAAAACCAGAAAGATATTTAATTGGTACACTTGTATCAAAGCTTGCCCGTACTCCACAAGCTAAACCAGGAGTCTACAAACATTTTCTGTAAAAGGCCAGATAGTAAATAGGCTTTTATGAGCCTTTGTTGTAACTACATAACTCTGCCTTTATAGCACAAAAGCAGCCATAAACAACAGGCAAAAGAATGGGTGTGGCTGTGTTCCCATAAAACTTTATTTACAAAAACAGGTAAGTCTGGAACAAAACTTAGTATTAGCAAGAGGCATCCTTCCCAAGAAACTAAGTAACTTAAGCTCTTCACTGGAGGTCCAGACAAGTCAAGCTTTACGAAATTGGCTAGAAAATTTCCATTTGGTAATACCTCAGTACCCAGGACCAATATAGCTCCTGCTGTTCTAGAGCACGCTGATAGTGGCTAGGAGTACAATCATGAAAAAGATAAAAAATGCCAGGCCAGACCCTATACTCACAACTAAACTTTGTTTAAATCTACCCCCAAAACACATATTTTTCCCAGCTGCCATCAAGTTGATTTTGACTCATGGCGACTCCATGTGTTTCAGAGTAGAACTGTACTCCACAGGATTTTCAATGGTTGTAATATTTTGGAAGTAGATTGCCAGGTCTTTTTTCTGAGGTGTCTCTGGGTAGGTTCAAACCACCACCCTTTCAGTTAGTAGCCAAGTGCGACCCAAGGACTCCTACAAAACACACATAGATTTTGTATTCTTTAAAAAACAAATTCCAGAGTATACAGGGTGGAAAAAATTTCAGAGGATTCCCTTCAAAATATGGATAGGTTAACTGGTAAGACCAACTCATTTATCAGTCTCTTCAATTACTGTTTTTCTTGAACCTTAAAACTTTTCTTAAAAATAAACATCTTTCCAAATCGTTTCCTGTTCACTAGTGTTTTTTTCATCCACATCTTTTCTTGTTCTGGCCTGTGCCAAAAGCTAAAAACTGTCAGAAAAGCACAAGAAAGTTCAGAAATGGTAACACAGGAATGAAAATTATACCAAGTTGGAGGCTGTGGCTTCAGAAAAAGATAGGCCTTTGGGAATTATTATAATGTGGTCTTGCTCTTTACTTATTCTTACCTGGAAGAAAGAAAAAATAACAGGGAATTACTCTGAGGTGTTCATATTTTGCAGAGTAAACATGACTAGGAATATATTTACAATAAATAATTGTAAGAGATCTGGGGAGAAAACCAATAACAAAATAAACAAAAATTAAAGATGGCATGCAACACGAAACTTTCCTTGAAAGGTTTTCTTTCCTCAATGCTCAGGTACTTTCTAAAGAATTCTGACATTAGTTTCTCATTCACTGGACTTACCTAAAGTGTTATTTTGGGGTTCTGAAAAAGCTTAACGTCAGCTACACTCATGAGAAACGAATGCCAATATTATTCAACCCAATGTGGGAATGACTATAACCTTGATTTATAACATGGAAATTAGGGGCAAAACAGACAAGGATAGAGAACAGAGTCTCTTCCTAGGACAAGAATCAACCTGGAGACGAAAGGGGGAACAACTAAGCAGCAGCTGGGGGAAAGGAAGAAAGGCTCTTGGTAGACTGCACCATGCATGTATGCCATTTCCATCACACAATATTCTAATATTTTGTTTCCAAATACTGTCTTGCTTCCAAATGTGGCAAAAATAAGATCAAGATAACTGGGAAAACCATATTAAAAAGATAAAAACCAGGGAGGAAACTTTGCTGACGCCTTCTATTTTCCTTGCCCCCAATTCTTTTAAATGCCACTGAAGCTTAGACATAATTAACACAGAGAGGGAAAAACTTGCCATCAGGATTTATTTCTGGATAGGTTCTACAACTGGTCTGAATTAAAGGAACAACGCAGATGGCAAATGGAGAAGAAAGTTGGGATAACTGTAGATAATCCCTTGGAGATAAGGTTTAGATCAGCATTAGATTGTGATCCACCATTCTAGGTTCAGAGAATGAAGTCTGAAAACTGAATTTCCCACAACAAGGTGAGAAGGGTACAGTTACCTTCTACTTGGGATTTTTAAAAAAGGAAGTAAAAGCTAAAGAACTCACTGAGATATATGTATTTGCCAGGTGTGCCCATCCAAACAAGTCTGCAAGTCTGTAGAGGCTGGCAAGTTTACAACGAGTAAGCTTTTCCCCCTTCACGTATGAGGATGCATCCGTACCAGGAAGATCATTGATAGGTGTGACCATGCCAAGACCTAAAAGGGAAAATTGTGGACAGAGATTCAAGTGGAGTCAATCCCTCACCTGGAAATTAGTTCACACATCCTACAGGAAGCAACGCGAATCTGGGAGTGTCTCAGCCTTGTAAATGATCTGAAATTTACCAGTCTACACAACACTTAATTAGCACATCCACCTTCAGAGACGTACACTGAGAGTAAAGGTATCAGCTGTCTTTTCTACTTGCTTGGTAAAGGTTGTTAGTCATCTAGTACTTGTTAGGGAGTGACTATATCAAAGGCTCATATCACTGGGGAAAATGGTTACATGATCCCCAAGATGAAAGTGTTATTATATACTAAGGTAATTGCTAATTTTATGACGAAAAGACCTCTGGAAAACTACTTTTCTAATATCTTTTTTGACTTTTATTCAAATATTAAAAAACATTAAGATGGAAAAGAATGCATTCAAACAGTAGTCTGGCTTCTGCCCTCATCCTGCAACAAAAACTAGTCTTGAAGGTCTCTAATGACCCACTTGCCAAGTTCAACTTTCACCCCTGCTCAGTCTTCATCCTCCTTGACCTCTCTGAAAGCCAGACACTATTTAGTACTGACTTTTTCCTAGGATTCTTCTCCAGGACCATGTGATACTATCTTAAGATCTTTTGTTCCCTTTCCACTTATTTCTTCTTTCTGCTTCTACACGTTTTCTTCCCCCTTCTTTCCCTAGTTGTGGCTCTTTCCCAAAGCTCAATCTTCCACTATGCACTTTTCTCATTTTACTTTTCCCCATGAAAACATCATATACTGTTAAGCCTCTAGCTGTGATTTCTGTGCAGATAGATACCTGATCTTCATCACTGACCAGGCCCCTCCTCCCCATTCTTCAGCTTGCTGTTTCTCATAGCCAGCAACACAGTAACATAAAAATTAGAGGAGTCTAAATGTGATTTTATCTTATCTTTCCTGATTTTTCTTCTTTCTCTCCTTACTGTTCTCATATTGATGGTATTCCAATTTCTGTGGGCTCAAACACTAAATAACCTTCATCTCTTAGCCTTTTCTGAGCCACCATATATAATTTACCATGAGGTTTCATCACTCTTTTCTTCACAAAGCCAAACACAAACACGCAAACAAACAACCAAACAAACCAGGTGCCGTTGAGTCGATTCTGACTCATGGTGACCCCATGGTGACATGGGGTTGCCATGCATTTTCTTCACAAGGGCTCTCAATTTCCAAGCTCAATTTCAGGCCCTTACCTCACACGTGAAATCCTACAATAAGCCTTCTCATTCTTCTGCTTCGCTGTAGCCCCTCTCTTTGCAAATCTATTCTGCATGAAGCCATCAGATCAAGTTTCCTAAAGCACTACTTTCAACCTCATAGTTTTGAAGGAACCCAAACTCAAATGCCTACAGGGGCTACGGAGGTTGTGTAAATGCATAACCCAGGCCAGGTGCAGCCTATGGGCAACTGGAGAGCATATCCCTAGTCTGACAGGGCAGTCACAACTCAGTTCCAATTAGTTGTTCTCATGTAAGAATATGAGTCTAGTGCTATCAGAACTTTTTAAGAGAAGCCCCAAATCAACATTTCAGTGGGATATCTTCAAATTCTGAAATGTTGCAAACTAATTCAAAGAAATAGTTTTAACAATATGTAAGCCACATGAAATACTTTCTGACAAAATTTTCAGAGTCAGCCATTAAGCTATCTCCTCTTACTCTCCCTACCTTTTCAACTTTAACTCCCACATTTCACAAGACAACACAAGTATTCTAGCCAAACTGGTCGACTTCTACCCCCTGACCTCTGAATATTGGGACATGGCTTTCCTGCTGCCATGCCTTGTACATTCCAGGCAGCCAGCCAGCACCCCCCTGCCACTCCCCTTTCCTCCTTGATATCTAGTGCACTGATAAGATAGCTTCTCTTACTATTTCTGTCTTCCCTGCTCTTTCTCTTCCAACTTTTGACATTTTCTCTTTTTATTCTCCACCTATACACTCTTGAATGATTGTTTAACCAACTTCCACAGCTTTGAGTAATACTTCTCTGTGTCTATCTGCCAAGACTTTCTCCTAAGCTCTCTAATTTCCAACTGTTTCAATGTCTTGGCAACTCAAATTGAGCATGCCTAAAACTGAATTCCCCCCCTCTCCCAAACCAAGCTAGATCCAGCTCTGGACTTTGCTATTTCTGTTGGATATACCATGAATCTCCCACTTTATTCTTCACATAGAAATTAAACTGGTCTTTCTAAATCATTCCTCTGCTTAAAACGGTTTCCCCTCAAAAGATAGAATAAAACCCAAACTTCTAACCCAGGTTCTGAAGAGCTACATGATGTGGCTCCTACCTATGTTTCTGACCTCACTTTGCTCCACTTAACCCTTTAAAAACCATGTTCCAGACCACTGTTGTTGTTATTGTTAGGTGCCCTTGAGTCGATTTCGACTCGACTCCATCTGAAAGAGGAGAACTGCCCCAAAGGGTTTTCTAGGCTGTGATCTTTATGGAAGCCGATCACCAGGTCTTTCTCCTGTTCCAGACCATTATCTTTCTTTTTTGTTCCTTGAAAAGGCAAAACTCATTCCCACCTTATGGCACTTGTGCTAGCTGTTCCCTCTACTCGGAATGCTATCTCAGTATGGTTGGCTCCTTCTTGCCATTCAGATTTCAGTTTAAACGACACCCCCTCAGACAGGCCTTCTCCGATCACACTCTAAAGTAGCCACCTAGTTGCTCTATCACATCACAGTATTTTAATTCTCTGTACAGCACTTTCCTTATCTGATCGTTTTCTTTGTTTACTTAATCTATATTCTATCTCCATGAGAATAGAAATTTTGTCTGTCTTGCTTATCCTTGTCCCTAAAAAGGTGCTTGGTACATAACAGATGCTCAATATTATAGACAGAATGAACCAAACTCGCTCAATCTTTGAATTTTCTTGTTTCTTCTAAAAGAATCATCATTACCCCCAAGCTAGAAAACTCAGTCATTTGAGACTCGCCCTTCTTCGCCTCCCCCACCACACCACCATATCCAAGTCTTTTGCCAAGTCTTATCTACTCTTCCTTGGTTATGCCTTTCTCATTGGTTTTTTCCTTTTTATACCCAAAACCAGCACTCTAGTTCAGGCATTCGTACCTCACATGGGACTCTTTCAATAGATTCCTTAACTGATCTTTCTGACTTCAGTCTCTTTGCCTTTTCTAGAACTCATTCAAGTTATCACTTATCATCTCTTTGTTCACAAGGTTTTTCCTCCGTCCATACAGGTAGCCCTCCTTGGTCCAGCAGTGAAAGCCTTCTTTAATCAGACCCAACTTCTCTCTCTAGGTTTTTACCCCAGGACTCTCACTGATGTACCAACATATCCGCCCACTTAAGAGTTCTACACACACTCACCTTGCATATTCCCACTCCACCATCATGTCTCTCTATTCTATTCCCCCTATTTGAAAAGTACTTTAATTCATTGGAATTCGACTTAAATCTTTAATAAAAAGAAAAGGAAGGGAAGAGGTATTGCCCTCATTCCTTGAATCTGATATGAAGCGGTAACTGACAGCTTCATCTGGCATGAACTCCTCTGATACTCTGTGTACCTGCCCTTTACTGCAGTGATTTCTGTATATATCTGTATATATGAATAAAATGTCCTATCTCTCTTTCATATCAAGTTCTAAATATTCTATCATTTTAAAGCCTGGTTAGTTCAGGCTTCTCTCCTTCCATGAAGTTTTCTCAGTCCACTCCAGTCAGTAATCAATTCCTCCTCTGAGCTCATAGCATGGTGACTTACAAAAGGTCATTAAATAATTTTTTATGAACTGCTTTGTAATTTTTTGCTCTAAGGTTATCTTGTAGTTTTAATCTTTTGTGCATTTATGGTATATCTCCCCAATTAAAATATGTATTTATCTAGGGCAGGGACTATGTCATGTTTTATGCTGTTTTATAATCCTCAGAGTCTAGTAAACGCCTAGATGACTTGAAAAATAGATTCTAACATTATGTTACTCTAAGGATTAGATGTTACAAATGTAAGGCCTGAACCTGAGCAGAGTATGCTGCTAGAGATACACAGTGTTCCAAAGAAAAGATAACATTATGATTTTTCCAAACTCTCCAAAACTGACATACTGAGGGGAGATGAAGTAAAGCCCGAGAAGGAATTGGCCATGATGTAATCTGCAATCTGTTGTAATGCTAGTAATCCAGCTGGGTTGTGGCCTTTCTTCATCTGTTCTTGAATAAGGCATTCCAGGTCTTCCCGAAAGGCCTATAACACAAAAATAACCACTGAGCACATACATCCACTTGGAGCAAAACAACACAAACTTTACTTGCTCTGATATAATCAATCTTTCTCCCATTTCTCTTTTGAATAGCTTTCACCTATACCATTTAAAAACAAATATCAAACACAAAATAATATTAAAACACTAGAAGAAGCAAGAAGCTTGCTTTTAGGGGAAGGGAAAAAATATGCATTCTTAATCTCAAAGGCAGTGAAATAGTTTAACATCTATATCAGACATGTATAGATAAGGCAACTCTGTTATTAATGGACAACTCAGAGCACCAAGTATAAACTGAGGCAAAAAGAGACCCATTCCTTACCTAGCAACCTTACCATCAAAGTTAGGATAGAATCCCTGTTTGAATGGGGCACCCCTCTAAGTGTGTTACTCTCATTTGTAACCCACAGTAAAAGGCTTCATTAAGATAATGTTAAATCACAGTTCTCATCATATGATTTCATGGCAATTCCTTAGTGCCATAAACTCTGAAAGCAAGCTGGTAAGAAAAGTTGAGGGGTGATTACTTTCCTTCTGCAACACTGTGCTAAAGAAATGACTTTGCTCTAACTTTGGGTTCCAGATGTTCCTAGTCTGGAGTTCTGCTGTGTATTTTCTTTTCTTTTTTGGCATGGGGTGGGTGTGTGACAGAAAGAGAAAGGAAGTCTCACTTGGAAATCCTGTTTATATAAATCAAAATCCTGGGCATTAAGAGAAGTTCCCTGTTCTGGCAACCCTTGAGTCGCTAGTAAGATTCATCATCTGAATCCTCTCCCAACCCTTCACTTCAGTTGAAATAGCTGGCTTGTCTTCCCGTCCCACCCAACACTTATTAAATTTATCATTTGTTTTCTTGCTCATGCCTATTTCATTAATTTTAAACACAGCTGAAGGTTCTTGTGATATAAACCATCTAAGCCTCATACTTCAACTTGAGACTGTTCACATGTGTAGCAGGATGCCCTGCCAGAAATCAAATTCATTTATTTCCCACTTCTCCTAAGACGAAGAAGGAATAAAATTACTTTGAAATCACTGAATGTAGATCACCAAGAGGGGTAGGTATGAACACCCTGAAAATTACTGGGGAAGTCTCCCTTACAAGGGTGAATCTTTTTTGAGTTACTGATGGTAGCCTTCCTCAGAAGGGTGGGAATAAGATCTCCTGGAGTCCCTGCTAAGAGGTAGCCTTGCTTAGAGGATGGCTGAATAGCCTAGAGGTGTCCAGGGACTTTTTTCTTTCTTTTTTTATATTGGCATAGAAATTCATGGTGGGTTGAGGAAATGTGGTTCTGAGGCTATTAGGTGGTAGATGTTAGCACTAGCCCTGATTCAATGCTTGTATTGCTCTTAGAACAACAACTGAGACACACCTATGATGTGAATTGAAACAGCCAAGTGCTAACAGCTGTAATCTTGGGAGCTCAACCACAGTGCACCATCGGATACCCTTAACAAGAAGAGAGAGGGCATCTTTCTCTGATGCACCCTGATGGCCTGCACAGGCATTTGGGCCAACTTCGAACTCGGGTCTTCTGTTGGATAGGCTACTAGTTTTCACCAACGATGCCAAGTGGCAAGGAGGTACAGTGGAAGTGGTGGACTGAGAAGACAACTGTGACTCTCACACACAGACGCATGCATACAAACACACACATGCACCACCCTCTTGGATATGGAAGCCACTCATGAACACTTTTGGACTGTGGAAGCCACTAAAGTTCTTGGGACAATTCAAGGGAAAACAGAAATTCAAAGAGGAAGATTCTGGATCTTTTGCTAATACAGCTGCTGGTAGTGGTGGTGGTTAAGTGATTAAGTTACAAAATACTAATCGTAACCATATTTGAATTTTGAGTTCATGGAGCAGTTTTTACCAGTTAAACATGGTTTCTCTTTCAGAAATTCAAGCCCTATTAAATGTAAATTATCAGCACAATTATAAAAATTCTAAAACATCTACTTCTGTTAACTGTATCTAGGTTCCTTTAAATACATGATTTAAACCAGAGAAACTATCCTATAAAATATCTGCTACAAAGACATATTATATTTACCAGAAAACTCCATTAATACATTTCTAAGACCCTGTGAACATAAAATGGCTGTGAGCTATATATAAGATGGATGGACGCCTTCATACAGACGAAGAACATGAGTATTTTACCATGCTTAAGACTGAAAGAGAAAGAATATTTCCTCGTTTATCTTTATATAAACTATAAAAAAAAAACTTCTGAATATATGGCAAGGGGCCAATCTTCCGAAACTTTACCTTCCCTTCAAAACTAAACTCTCCTTAGATTTTCCTCAGTTCAAAGCAATAATAACCAATATTCTCTGATTCAGTAAAAAAGATGATACCTACTGTGGGTATCACTCATGTACATTACAATAGCTCTGAAAAGTAGGCATCATTTATTTTATTGGCTGCCTCCACCCCATGTTTTTCCAGGAAGAAATTTAAGGCAGCTTCCATAAAGTGATAAAAAGATAAATAAAATACAGGTGAAAAAATCAAGCTAAAGAGAAAACAGCATAAGGAGGCTAGGCAGAGCCAGGAATGAGGTTAAGATACAAAGCGCATGCTACAAAATTATATGCATCTGCTAGAGATGGGCTAAATTTGATCTAAACTCTCTAACAGCCAACATCAGTCAAGAAAACCTACTAAGTATACTGATTTACAATGCCTTTAAGATTAAAAACCAACTAGTTGCTCAAGAGAATCACAACTATTTCTGAAACTGGTAAGTTTCTGCTGGGTGGAATGAGAAAGCTAAATAAGAAAGACTGAAAAACTTGTTCAAGGTCACACAGCTACTAAATTGCAACGACTCAGGTCAAATACTTTTTTCATTAATGAAAATGCTTTTTTCAATTTCATATATCCCACAATATGGGGAGTACCTATCTAAAGCTTTGGGATTATACATGAGGTCAATGAGGGATGTATAAGCCCTTTTGAAGTCAATTAATAAGAAGAGGAAAAAACATGAGTTTCCCCTACAAGGCTTGTGAACAGCTTCTGTACAGTATAGGTAAAGAAAATAATTTTCAAAATAAATGAGATTTCCTCAGATTTTTATACAGTTAACTATTCCAATAGATAAGAATTCTTCTTGGGCAAGAAGAGTTAATATTTTTTGTCATGAGCATTTATAACTTTTTTTTATTGTGGTAAAATACATAACAAAACATTTGCCTATAACTCATTTTTTCATGTTTCAAATATTTTTGAAATATTATTCAAATAATTACCTAAGTCACAAAACAACAGTGTAAAAATTACTAATGATATAAAATTGTTTCAGCTGGTTTAAAAATTTATCATTAAGTTTATTAAGTTTTAATTAAAATATTAAAAGAATAAAACTTTATCTTTATGAATAGTTAATCATATTTCTACTATATCCAAATGTTAATAATCCTTTATAGTTGACTCGTTTGAATCTCATAACAAAGTCCTGAGATATGCAATGACTTGTTCAAGTTTGTATCACTAACAAGTAAATGTAATAACAATTCAAATCTGGAACTCTCAGTTGGACACAGGATCTTTTCCTAATTTTATCAGAGCTGGACAATGTCACTGAAATCAAATACAACTAATAATAAAGTATCAGGCAAGTTGTGATCAGAAATGTTGAGTAAGCCTCTTAGGCTAGATTAGAGCATTAGGTTGTAATGGTAGATTTTAAAAAAGTTATATAGTAGCAGATTATGATGAACCTGGAGTACCAGGCTAAGTATTTGGCCACTTGCAGTTAGGAATTTTCCCATCAAAGCATAATTAGAAACTAGGGTTCGTTCCGGTTCAAACCCCTACTGACGGAACAGTTGGAAGTCCTGTGAGAAACTAACTTACAAGCAGGGCGGAGAGGTCATATGCAAGGCATATGAAATTTACAAGATTAGACTGTGTCTTAAGCCAATCTCTTTGGAGATATAAAAGAGAGAATCGAGCACACAGACCTGGGGACCTCATACCACCAAGAAAGCAGTGCTGGGAGCAGAGCGCATCCTTTGCACCTGCGGTTTCTGCAGGGAGAAGCTCCTAGACCAAGGGAAGATTGATGACAAGGACCTTCCTCCAGAATCGACAAGAGAGAAAAAACCTTCCCCTAGAGCTGGCGCCCTAAATTCAGACTTGTAGCCCACTAGACTTGGAGAGAATAAATTTCTCTTTGTTAAAGCCATCCACTTGTGGTATTTCTGTTATAGCAGCACTAGATGACTAAGACAGGTGTTTTCCCCCATTTTACATATAAGGAAACTGAATCTCAGCTAGGTTAAGTGAGTTTCCTAATGTTACATAGCTAACAAATGGTGGGTGAAGCAAAGATATGAATCCAGATCCAAAACTAGCATTGTGTACAAATACGTATATATAAAAATAAAAAATTATATAAACAGGTTAAAACTGGAAATGATGAGAAAATAGGCTGACCCCTAAATCTAGTTTAAAACAGCCCAGTATTTCAGGCTCTCCATAATTGGTTGCTACGTAATTTTTTGCCCTTATCTGCCATTACTACCTTATGCTCTAGTCTAGCCTACAAGGGTTCCTCAGCATTCTTTGGTAACAACTTGCACTTTTTAAATCCTGGCTCATGCTGTTTCAGATCATGTAAGTGCCGGCTCACATTGTTCCTCTACCCCTTCAATTCTTACTCTTTACTCAACACTCATCTTAAATGTCATCTTTTCCTTGAAGTCCTTCGTAAGAATCCCAGTTAGTAGGGATCTCCACATCTCTTCCCTCCCCGACGCTGAACTCTTAACATGTATTGCCTGTGCCATACTTAGGATATCTACCATATGATTGCAACTGTTTATCTATTTTTTCGACTCTACATCACAGTATCTGATTGCTGGGGGTGTGTCTGTCATATTTCTAGATTCCTCTTGAGTGTTTAGTTCAATGCTCAATTAATAGTAAGTTAAAGTTTCTTTTTATTTTCCTAGATGTAAGAATGTG